CACTATAACTATCTATTTTTTCTTATAATTTTATGAAATTTCTTTTATGCAATTCAAATAAACTTGTTATTGACGCGACAGTCAATGCAGAATTATTTCTACTTTCTCTTTCCTTCTGTTATGCAGCCCTAAACTAACTGTTTAGCTAAAGTTAAAATAAAAAGCGTTGAGAAAGATGATAAGAAAAACACTTTTATTCAACCTCACATTAGGTGTTTGACAAGATCCAAAGAAAGCGAGGTCGAAGAAGCAAGTCACAACACGAGTGTACGACTGTGAAAATGTTAAAATTGGTCAAATTCTGTGACCATTTTCGGCAAGAATAGTATACAGGTGGTTTAACACCAAGCACATGCACTGCTTTGCCGTATTTTATGTAATTATAAAAATCAGTTACTTTTTAACACAGTAAATTAGAGCTAAACAGTTAATGTGATTATAATTGCCGTTACAGTTTAACAGATTGATGTTCCCCCTAAAAACTGTTTTGCTATATCCAGTGACCTAAATCGAAAAAGTTCTGTAGTCAAAGAAAGTCCTGCTGAATGTGTGATGATAATCAAACTTTCTTTGGTCGCACATTTCTATTCAAAGCCTACAAAGTCTGAGCACTGCGCCACTTCTGATGTTGTCAACGATAACGGTTGATAAAAACAACCGTAAGTATGCATTATTGCTTCTATTTTGAGTTTGTTTTACAGTCTTTCTTTAACAGAACTTTACATATTTTTAACCAAGCAAATCTACTTGTGTCGCGAAATGTAGTTGATTTTAAAAAAGTGTGAAAAAAAAGAATAAAATAAAGCTTTTCAAAAACTTTCTCTGAGAGATTTCAAGAAAAATTTGCTTTTTTTTGTTTAGTGCAAGAAAATTTAAATTACCATTCAAAATATTTTTTTCGACAAACGCAAAACTTTTGCAAAACATTTTAGATACATTAAAATCAACACTATAGTCATACCCATAACGTCAAATTATTATTTTAGTGAAGGCAAACTTGTCTCAGTGTAGCTTAATTCAGTTTCCAGTTTTCAGCTAAGCAGGCTGCAAAAGGAGAAATATAGCGCTTTTTTCATAAACTAACTTTCAGACTTGTTTCTTCTTTCCATTGAGAAATTCTCCTAATGAAAGAAAAAAGCGATCATAGAAGATGGTTGGTTGGTATTAGTTTTTTAGATATATTATGTGAAGATTACTCATAAAGAATTTCAGATAAAATCGAAGACAGCCCTATAGATTAACATCGGATTCATTTATTTACACATTATTTGAGTCGCCAAAGACTTCCACAGAGTCCAGTGCGTTTCAAATGACCGCAACAGATTACATTCTTACAAATGACCAGCGAACTTCCATTGAAGAAGTACTGAGGATTGTTGGTCCCAAAGATGCTGCTAATAAATACTGTACTCCGTTCAATGTATTAAGATGGATTAATAATTTTGATGATATTGAAGAAGCAGCCAAACGACTACAGTACCATTTAAATGTCCGACAAATTAAGAGGCTGGATACGATACACGAAAACAATGACGGTAAGCTTGTCTAAAATTTTCCATAAATAATGTATATTAATAGAATAATTTTATAACTTAAATCTTGGCTAAGTGATATCCAATGTTTCCAACATAGTTTTTAACCGTTTACAAAACGGCATGTTCGTTAGTCCCAAAAATACCTCAAAACAATGAAATTTTGACTTTTTTGAGACTAATATTACTGTTTTAAAAAGAAAAACACTTCCTAAATACTCCGCGAAATAATCCCAGCATAGTGTCTTACCCACATCTTTACAACTGTTCAAGACTTCAATTCCCAATCAGTTACTGTTGTCTGACAATAAAAATCAGTTTCTGTTTTATTTTTGAAATGGCATCATTTTCAACTCTGTCCTACACTTTGTCTCGCAAAAATCTCTAAAACAATTTACTGAAGGTCCCATTAAATTTATAAAACTTAAAAAAAATTTTTTATTTTCTTTCTTCAACTTTAACTCCAAAATTTTTTTCCAATTTTGCGAGGGAACTGGTCATCTTATGATTAATCAACCTCATCCTGATCTCGCAAAATTTTAGTCTTATTGTCTTGTAATCACACCGATTTTTTGATAATTTTCATCTGAAGAAGTTTTTTAGCTGTAAAAATACTTGATTATTTGTTCATATTTGTTCATAAAAGCAAATTCAGTTATGAGAAAATTACACCGAGACGACACTTAACTTAAGCCAGATCGCGAAAATAGAAAATAAAACTTCAGTCTTAGCTATCAAATGCAATACCTCCCTTTCAAAAACATTTACATAATCCAGTAAACAAGCAGCAGACCACTTTAAGTCGATTGGTACAGCTCTTAACCCTGACTTGTAAAGTCGCAAAACAGGAACCAGGACTTGCGGAGATGGCGTTTTCCGCCGAGTAATATCCAGTAGAATTTTTACGGGCAATATGAAAGGCTAAACGGAGAGAACGGAAAGAAAAGAAAAAAAGTAGTGCGTCATTAACTGGTTTCCCCGAAAAAAAAAAAAAAAAGAAACGCATGCTGCAAAAAGTTTTTGATCTTACATAGCGGAAAAATGATCTATAGCTGGATTCTTATACGGTCAGAAGTTATACCAGAAAGGTTAAAATCAACTGTCAAAAATTATTCAGAAGCGAAATGCTTTGAGTGAGATAAATTTTCCTAGTGGAACGTGAATGGAATGCAAGTAAATTCTGGTCAAAAAAGTTTAATTACCAGAATCAATTCCTTATTATAATGAATGTACTTTCCAACTCTACAGCGATCGCTCTCACTGTAAATTTTTTTTTTCCATAACCCCAGAGAACTGCGTAAAGGATGTATGTGCTATCCTAAAAAAATTTCCGACATTTCCAAATCTTATTTTTAAAGTCCATATATTTCCTAAGTTTTTTGTTTTTCATTTTATCGGGACTTGCAAAATATGAATATCATTCTGAAGTTAGAGAAAACGACACCAATTCCAAAAAAAAACTTAGTTACTTGATTACTCGACAAAAATATAAAACGTCAAAAAAACTTAAGCTGCGTGAGAAAAATAAAAGAAATCTCGTGGTTTGAAAGGAGCGTACTAGGCTTGGGACTCACTGTTACGCATTTTACCCTTAGTTCTGCGAGTATCAGATTTGGAACACCAGAAAACAAAAGTAAAAGAAAGCCCAAGTCAATAGAAGCGTTCCATTTGACGTGGCATAATTTTGAAAAAACTTACCAGACACTTTCAATCTTTTCTCTCTTGCCTTGATGAAACACGTTGTGCTGACATGGTATCAGTCTCAAAAATTTTCTAGGAAATACCATTTCCTTCCAAGAATACATTGTATAAAATCCGTTCTTATTCCATTATTCCCACAAACCCCAACTACAAACAACGCATAAGCAGTACGCACAATTAGTTGAATTAAGCTGTCATCATTAATGTGCTGTAACTGCAACTAACTAGGTTTGACAAAAATAACCAACATCTCAAATGATGTCTCAATTCCAAAATTCCAGCTGAGTTAAGTGGTAGATTGCATTTCCACTGTTTAAAATATAAAAAATGAATTACGACCAAAAAATTAACATTTTTCAGAGCTTAACAAAACATTTTCCAAGCATTTTCCTCTCCATGTGGTCGGACGAAATCGATTTGATGACAACAAGGTCGTGGTATACGAACCAACGGGTAATATTGATGTCTACAACTTACTCGAAAAAGTTCAGTTCACTCCGTTTATGAAAAGCCGCTTTCAAAAGCTTGAGGCAGTCTTAAGAACAGTCAACAAATACGAGGAAGAAACCAAACAGCTCTCCAGTGCAATACTAATTATTAATTTAGAAGGGCTAGTCCTTCAGTCCAACTTGGTCAACATTGTCAAAGGTTTTACTTCACTCCACTTTTGATTTACTCATAGATCCCCCTCTGAACCCAGTTTGGAAATTTGTTTAAAAACTTGACAACTCTTAACAGAAACTTTGTACTTCCATGTGCGCAGAAACTTCAGGGCCATATCGGATAATGTGGGGAACTTTGTTTGACGAGTACCCTCAGCTGTTTTCTCGGATAGTCGTGATCAATGCACCATCATTTATGAACATTATATGGGCCGCGGTCAGCCAATTTCTAGACGCTGAACTTACGGTTAGGCTTTTAGCTTATGAAAGGACCAAACAACGTATGTGCACCATTTATGGAACAAAACATTTCACAGTTACAAAAAGCTCCAGATAAACGCACACCGACAACCATTTCTAGAATAGTACCAAAAACCAATTTAAGGAGAAGATAACAATTTTAACAGAAGAAACCCACAGCGAAATTTTTGAATATATTGACCCGTCCTACTTGCCAACGTCGTGTGGAGGGGAACTGGATGACGAAAGCTTATCAGAAAAGATCCCATCCTTTGAAACATTCCCACCACCTTCAGGAGATCCCAATGTGCTTCTCAAGGAATTAATAATTCCAGCGGGTTATACTTTTATTTTGAAAAAAAATATTTTTTTAGGTTACATTAAAATGTGTTGAGGATTGTGCAGAAACGTAACACCTACGGTTTTAATCCTATTTTATTAAATTCTTCAGGCGGCTCTCTCGTTCAAGTCTATCACTTCGATGAAAACACAGAATTGGAATTCTACTTAAACCATCAAGAGGAATTTTCATACATTATATTGTACTCCGAAGAAAATATTGACTATAATAAAGTGAGATAATTTTCACAACATCAATGAGCACCCAATCATTAATACACAAGATGCATTAAAAAGTAATAAGTTTCAGTGGGGCGAAGAAGAACTACAGGAGGTTTATGCAGGATGCGAACTACCTGGTCTCGCTACGACTGACTACTGGAAATGGAAAACTCCATACACAGGCTATTACTACATTTGTTACGGTAACGAAAAAGCCTGGTTTTATTCAGTGTTGGTCAATCATCTTATAAACATCTGCGACGCTTATGAGTCTACTTCAGCCTTACCAATTGCAGAATTTTGATGTGATATTTCTTCGTATAGCCAGATGAATAAAAGTATTACTGCGAAATACGCATTTTTTTTAGAAACTTGTCTCAACTGCAGCAAAGAATAGTCGAAGTGAATGTGATAGTGAGGAAAAGAAGAGGATTTCTTTCCTCGATAATGAAAATAAGTTTAAAAATTCAGAACGTTTTACAAGTCAATAAAATACCAAATTAATCAGTCTTCTTGTTACCCGATGAACATGCAGGTGTTTCTTCGGAGCTTTCAACCTTAGAAACGTTTGCTTTCGCTGCTTGAGTTTGTATTGGACATGTCGGGTATAATATCGCATCAAACTTCGCTCGCCAAGATTCAGGAAATAGCCTCAGTACATATGGTTGTATGAACTTCAGGTATATTGCTAATATTACCGGAAGAATCAGACAGGGAACACAGACCATTTTTAGAAATCTTAAACAGAAATAAGAATCAAAATTGCCGTTAGACTCCTACAAAAAAAATGTTCAGTGGATTCAAAAAAGACGGGAGTCTTCTAAGCTCTTCATACGCAAAGTTCATTGGCAAATTTCACGGAAATCTGAATAAGAAAATTTTTTCTACTTTTCTCCTCCTTTTAACATATGCCCACAACCATGCCAATTAATATAATGAAACACTCGGCAGCAATCGTCTTCCCAATGTTCATAAACAGAGAATAAATAAATCCAAAACATGAAGAAAGGTTGAAATAGGTAAAGAGATGCTTTTTATAATGGCAAAAATCAGAAAAAAAGCTCATCGTCGGAAAACCAATAAGAATTTTAACATTCTGCGCTGTCCCTAATTGCGTCTTGAAAGTTCCTACATGTTTGTTTTTTTTTTTGCTATGTGACCAGCAAAATCAAAATCCTCGAAAACAACAGTTTAAACGGAAAACAAAGACGCAGCCAAAATTTGACATAAAACTTTCACATAATGATGAAGAAAATAATTGTGGTCCCATGGACTTAACAATTCCATCATCTAGTTCCACTAATATCAAGAACCACCACCAACGTTTATCGACAACAAACGACCAAATCAAAAAAAAAAAAAAATGCTCCAGAGCCGAAAACTAGCTTCATTATCAACATTATAAAGTGCATACCCCACAACGAGAAACCGGTATAACTGCCTCTGGAATCTGTCCAGGTCTTAACCTCATTCAGGGCTTTGAAAATAAACCGCATCGTTAATTGTCAAGTGCAGTTTGTCGACTGATATTCCGAAAGAACAAGTTGACATGGCCACTGGTTGGGTATCCGTGCTGTGTTAAGATTGAAACCTAAAGCTACACGACGCTTTTTCTTAAACGACTTATCTTCCTCTTAGTCTTACTTTGTAGCTGAAATTTGCGACCGCAGATTATCACCTTCGATAATGTTTAAAAGTTTTAAGGAAATACTACACAGACTACAATCAAACAGCGGTCCTAGCAGTTTTCGATTAGTGAAGAGATACCGTCAAAACAGAAGCGTTTTCCCCTTGAATTGTCCTGTTTACCGGATTCATTAGTTCTGAAAGACCGTGCACTGCCATCTCCCAGTCAGTTCAAATAGAAAAAAATTATCGCAGCCGAACAATCTTTATTAAACAAATACTACTCAACAGAGTACAGTGCAACTGTTAAATTTTATAGTGAACCAAATCACATTTTCATCTCCAAATCAGTTACTCTGCATACTTAAATAATCTTGAAAAACAGGAACGGCCTCAAAAACAATAAACAACATTCCACACTCAGATGTGGAACAAACCGTCCTATATAAACAGTAAAAGCAATATCAGATATGTTACTGTCACGACTGAAAAAAATCATTCTTTTTTTGAACTTATTTTTTTTTTCTTCGTTGAAGAACGGCAATGAAGAACCCATTAGTCAAAGTGATTTCGGGAGCAGCCCTCATACATTTTTGACCAAACGAAAAGTCTGCACTTCCACGTAACTCCCACGACGGGAAGATTCGTTTTAACTTGAATTTTTTACTCAGCGATTCATCCTTTAAAACCTAAATACATTTATCATGTTTCCGTTGAAAAGTTTAAAATACAGCTGCAAATACAGCTTATACAGCTGCGAATGACTGCAGGAACTTTTTAACAAAAAAATTGATTGTTAGCGTTAAAAATATAGAGTACTCAGCCCTGCCTGTAGTTAAAATACAAGGAGTCACAAAAAATGAATATTCCAAATTTTATCATCTAAAATACCATAGTATAAGTGCAACTGAAGAAGTTTGTACGAAAAATTAGCGCATGCATACCTCTTGAATAACTTCCTCATTCTCCTCTGTGTAAGTAGAGCAAGTTGAATAAACAACTCTTTTTAGAGAAGGAAGCTTCAAAGTATGTTTCAGAATCATAGCCTACAATAAAAGAAAACTATTGCTTTCATTACGCACTACAAAACAGATTTTGACTGTAATCCTTTACCATTATTTCGGTAACATTACATCAGAATTTCAGAATCAACAATGCAACGAGAAAAGAGGTATATAGGAAAGAATCATAAAATCTGCTTCCATGAGAAGTCACAACTCTGCCCCGGCTGATAGTGAAATAAAGCAGACTAAAACTGAGTTTTTATGTCGACCTACTAAACCATCCAATTTTTTATGAGCAAAAAAAAGAACATTTATAAAGTATACCTGTAAATTGGACAATGAACGCAGTCGGCTCTGCGAAATGTCACCACGGCTGTTTACAACCGAGTCTAATCGCTTTACAATTCCTGAACCACTGCATGGTGGATCAACCAATGCATATTCAATCTAAAAATAGAGTTCTCCTGTCTTCTTCAAAAAAAATACGTTACAAAAGACGGACAAGCATCTTAAACACACACCGTTAAATATAAATACAAAAGAATTACTAAATGACCTTTTCCTAAGACTATTTTCTAAACTAAGCTTCCTTCAACTACGTAATACACGTTCATAAACCTCCGGAACTTTTGAGCAAAAGGTTTTCTCTACAGAATAATTAAAAAACATTTGTAAAAAAATTACTTTAGAATGCAGCTCATCATCAGTGTTTAAACGCAAACAATCACCACACTGAAGTGATACGTTTGTTACACCAGCTTTCTCCAGAATATTGCGCATGTTCTCTAATCGAGTTGTTGCTTTATCAATAGCCAAAATCCTTCTAAATGCCTGTCATACAGTGATTTGCAAAGAACAAAGAGTACATCTCACTTTCACATAAAAATATAAGAAAAGAAACCCCTCGTTTTTCATTATAGCGGAAAGATGAGAAGTTTTCATCCCAGGAGCTGCGCAGACATCAATGACTTCCGATCCAGGGGCAGGATTTAGCAAAATTGATGAAATGCAACTTGCCTAGAGCTATACAAATTAGAAGACTTTGCTGAGAAGTTATAGAAATAGGTAACAGTGTTGGACTAAACCGAAGATTAACTCAAGTTCCAAC